TTATGTACTATTGCGCAAGTTAGATTTCATGTAGCATTTTCAATAAATTAATATAGGTAAAATTTGTTATGTATTAATTGTATTATTAATTTATAAATATTAATTAATATTATTTACACGTGCATCACACGAAATTCATACTATTATATCGAAAGAGGTTGATGGTTAATTCAACGGTAAAAGGTCAGTTTTTTATTTATAAGCTGACTTACTCTAAAATTTAGAGCTTGTTTGGAAACACTTTTTAAATGGACTTTTGGATGCAAAAATCCATTTGGATAAATATTTATGTTTGGTGCTAAATTAAGAATGGACTTATGAATAAGTTGTTTTTCCAAAAAGTCCATTTTGTAAAAGTAAATGATGCAGACTTTTGGAGAAGTCCATATCTTAAATGGACTTTTTCAGAAGGGCTCCCAAACAAGCACTTAATATTCAAAATTATATGCATAAATATTATCTTACTTTTTTCTGGGTGCATTTTAATTTTTAAATTGTATTGGAAGATTTTATTTGTCCTATTTTGATAGAAACAATTACGTATCAAAATACAAAGTTGTTTAAAAACGATATAAATTTATGGTATTGCCTTCAAATATGCAAATTTGAAAATGAACGCCAACAACAAATTATAGTATTATGATTTTCCACAATCGAAATTCCAAAATTCATAATTAGTGATTTACATATATTTGTAGCATTTTAATACTTTACATATGGAATAATCATGATGTTGACATCTAGTAAATGTCGTGTTTATCATTTCTATTAGAAATATAAATTAATTATAGAAAATAATTTATTAAAAGTTAAATAACGATAAATTTATAATTTTTCATACCCAATGAGAATGAAAATTGTGATTTAAGCACATGAAGTGAAAGCTGTGATATAAATATTGTGATATAAACACAAATAGTAATTGCGAGCACAAATTTGATTAGAGGTGGGCCGTGGGCGCGGTCCCGGACGTCCGAGATTTGGCCTGTCCTTGTACCTGTCCCACTTTTACGAACTGGTCTGGAAACGGTCCTGGAGAAGACACCCTTCCAAACAGACCGGTATCATTCAGGACCGGGACAAAACAAACTAAAAAATAAACTCAACCAAAGAGTACTCATTCCATTAATACAAACAATCAATATAACGATTCATTAAAAGTTTAAATTAAACATACTATCATAGTAATACGGGAAACTGAAAGAAAACATATGAAAAATAAAAAAGACACCGATTTTGCCGATCTGTAGGTGAGATCGACAAAGAGAGTAGAGTTCTACGGAAAAGTGTATTGAGAGTATGTGTATAATGTTTACATATGACTGTTAGTGTATTCGTGTTTGTGAGGTGCATGAGTAGCCGTATTTATACACAAAAAAAGGTAAATGTGTAAACAAATGAAGTAAAATCATAAAGAAGTAGGTTGTTATTTGGGTCGTTCATACATATTCATACATATCTATGCTTCAGGCCATGTACCAGCTGAACCGAGTCGAGCTCAAGCTTCTAATACTTGGATTCGGCTCGTTACCTCAATGAGTCGATAAAAAAGAACGAGTTTGACGAGTTTATTGGTATTAAAGAGCTGAACTCGGGAATGGCCTGAATTAATAATTCAAAAAATTAAGTAAACCCTATTCTTCAGCCTAGCGAACCTAAATGAGTCAACCTATTTGATACTTAACGAGTCGAGTTGAACTTATGAACAACTCATTTTGTTTAACAACTCTTTAATGCTTTGCTTGAGTGTTTAACAACTCTTTGATGTTGGAGTGTTTATAAGTGAACGTCTTTTGACCCAATTGAAAACAACACGAATCAACTAAGCTACTCCTAAACTGAAGGCTAAAGAATCTCAATATTACTATACACGTTATACACGTAACACATTTTGCCAACACTTATAAAAATCAACATCAACTTCTGACCATAACATGAAAACAACACTAACTTCCATACTTTTCAAACTTCTGTTGCCTTTGTTCAATCTGTAATCTGATTTTCACAAACATTATTAACTTGTGATTACTAGCAGCTTTACTCATCTAATACAATAAATCAGTCCTATAAAAACGCAAGTTTTTGAGAAATACTCCCTAAAACCATGGGACAACCCTTGTTCGTACAGTTCCTGTGACAGCATTATCGAACAGTTGAGCTGAAAAATGGAGTAAAACAATTAATCACTACTTCCAGTTCACCTCTAAACTAGTTATTACTCTAATTCATAGTCCATACAAATATAACACCAGTATCATATGGTATGGTGGCAGAAAATAAGCATAGTACCACACATACAAAGCTATCATCCGACCTTTCCTAAAAATTTGCGTAACCACAAAGTGCACCCAGAAGAAAAACTCTGAACGAAAAAAGGCAGTGGCGGAAAAATCAAAAACACCTTTTAGTCACTGCAAAAATAAAATGGTCGAAGGAGATGGGAAAATGTAAGATCTTAAGACTCCAGACTCCAGCAGATCACCTCCCTTCAAGATTTGGAGAGAACTGCAAAAATGAAAAACGAGAAGGATGTCATGGATTTATTAAATCTGCAACATTAACTTTTCACAACTAGACATAAATTTATAAATATAAGCAGGTAACAACTGGGAAAGAAAATCTTTATATTCCACCAATAATGCCTCAACTGGATGTTTCAGATAACTTAACTAGGAAGTATGGTATTCTATTATCGGGTCAGCAATTTCCACTGCAAACACAGAAGGCACGCAAGAGTTCAGAACAATTGAGAACAAAAAGTTACCAACTCTAGAGGAGTCACTATTCTTTTTCTCTGGAACTGTTTTTGCCAAGAACTCTTGAATGGTCCTCCAATAACGATCACCACCAGCCAACCATGTATCCATATGCATACCAGTAGGGAATTCTACGAAAAAGCATTGGCGATTGCGTGCAGCTGCTTTAGCGTACAACATCTCCATGTGAGATGGGGGAACCATTTCATCTCTTAGTCCAGAAAGGAAGAGTATTGGTTGTTTGATCTGCAGTAGAGAGTATCGGATATCAAGTAAATAAAGTTAACAAAACTTGTCTGTAGAAAGCCAGTTATACCACTTTTCAAGTAAACACATACCCAGAAAAGCTTATAAATGACGTACAAGAGGAGTTAGTGACAACAAGAAGGCAAAATTCAGAGCCACAACAACATTTTGAAAAATGGACTGTGCATTGAACAGAAAAGCATATTGTTTCTGGTTCAAATTTACCAACCACCAGTCAACCGATAGGATGTAACAAAATATCTTTTATGACCAGCAATTTGAACATGCACATCGAGGACTAAAAACAGAAAGCGTAACTTTTGAGACATGAAAGAAACAACAAATTGTAACATTTTCACACATCTCAAGCAACTTGTGTTGAGTTCAATTTGGTCATCAAAAAGACAGACATGCGAGTTTTATGAAACAACAAGCCAACTTGAGTCAAAATACTTAAAGAGCTCCAGTAGCATAATAACAGACACAGAAGGGAGCTTCATTAACATGTTGCCTCACCTCACCAACAACATCAATGGTGTTCCATGGGGAACGAACTAAAAAATTCAGAACTCTGGGACCCTTTGAGGTACTTTTTCCAATAAATAACTTCAGAAATGGTAATAGAACTCCAGCCATGTCCAGAATAGATGTGAAAGTGTTTTCCAATATTAAGGCAGCCACCTGCAATAACAGAGAAAGCAAAGACATGAAAAATGACAAATAAATGATGACTGACTAGCACTCTCCTGAAAGGTCTTCTGGAGATTACTTACAGCACGAGAGAAAGAGTCTCAGATAAATTTTTAAGTGGTTCAGCCTAAGGGAAATACAGCCTTCAGTTTTCAGATGGTTATTTGAGTTAGAATCTGAATCATCATTGCTTATGTTTAGATTTTAAATATATCAATTAGTTAGACAATGCAATATGTTGAACTGCAACAAAGCTTGAATAGTATCATCATTCAGGCTAAGGATAATGATGGTTCTAAGCCGGCTAAATTTTTTATACCACTCTCAAGGCAGAAGAAGAGACAAAGTAAGCAATACATAAATAGAAGAACTGCTCTCAACTTGAACTGCTTAGTCAGCTTTTGAAACTAACTCAGCTTTAGAGGCTTTACCTTGTCAGGATTGTTTTTGGTTAGCACAGCCCCAACAGCTCCCCCAAGTGATCTTCCAAAGACTATAATTCTGGACGTATCGATGTCTGCTCTCTGAACCAGATGATCCAAAGCAGCCTAGTTGAAAGGACATTGGCAAGAACTAGATTAGGACTTGTCCTGGCATATAGATCTTAAATCCAGAATCACAGGCAACTATCCTCCTCTCAGGAGAAGATAGAAGGCACTGACTAATGACGATAGTACAACGGAATGCTAATAAAAAAACATATTCACGAAGCAAACCTGAGCATCCTTTGTAATACCATGCTGTGAAGGAAATCCATCACTAGCTCCATAACTGAGCATGCCAAAGCAGCAGAATGCAGTTAGACAATAAGCATATGTTGCAAACTCTAGAAACCCACCACACATAATACTAAATTACGAGAACTTGGGTAAAGGAAGAACAACACTAGAAACGAAGAAGGTTAATGAACAAATATAAGTGTTCAACCACTCAAGACTTTTGCAACAGGTAATTTGAGGCATGGTTATTGATTAATGAGGAATTCTTCAAGAAATCTACAGGGTAATAATTTCTAACCCTCGGTAAGAAAGCATGAAAACGTTGCATTGCAGTTTCTGCAACATTACGTGAACCATTTCAAGACGATGAGCAATGTCTGCAATAACATAGTTAAGGATTTAAAACAGATTTATTCCAGTAAGCACACGATTAGACATTGCAAACAATTTGTATATATAGTATATTTTTAAAACATGACTGTGAACTTCAAACAAAATAATGGAAGGATACTTCCTGCATTTTCCTGGAAAAAGAGAACAGTTGGACCTGCAAAACCCATTACAACAGGTCTTAGATTTATTGGAACCACACTGTACAAACCAACCACAGACAAAAGAAAAAGAATAATAATAGCCACAAATAATGAAATAACGAATAGCCACCACAAGCTGCTGCAATTTTGCCTCAGATTTATTTTCTTCTCCCTTCCCAGCATAATCTACATCTGACAGCTATTTGTGCATCATCAAATATCTATATCATCTTCTACTTTTCCTCCATCTTCAGTTGTTTTAAATTTATTGGAATACAGAAACTCAAACATAATAGTATAACCTTAATTAACCGTGGCTCTTCATAGAAAGCACTCAACTTAGTAAAATATACCCAAATACATCTCCACTATATGTTTTGCTCTCAGTAGTAACATGTACCAGTAACAAAGCAGTTCATAAGCTGAATAAGTTATATTAGTAAAAATCAGTGCAGTTCAGCTCACATCAATTTTAGGACACACAGATGAGACTAAATACAACTAGAAATTGTCCAAACTATAATTAGGCCAACAGTACAGCAAAACAAAGTCATCAAAATCAAACAATGACCACAAACAAAACTAACACTAGCTAAAAGAAAGACCCAGCTGGAGATATCTGAAATAAATTACACTCCATGCTCATTTGGGGCCTAAAAGAGTAACTTCCACATTTCTTCAATATTATTACTTCCATTCAATCCTAACTCCAACTCATAACCAGGCTATGTAATCTTGGTTTCAAGTTCCCAACTACAACCACCTGACCGAAATCAACAGACAGCAAAGAGAACAGTGATCAAAACCCTAAACAACCCACAATTATCCCCCTCCAAATCAGATTCAACTCAATCACACCTCGCTAAACAACGAAACGAACATAAAAACGCAAAAAATAGAAAAAAACTAAACCTTTACAGTCGGGGAAGAGCTTGATAAACCAGGAGTGGAGGCGGACGCCATCGGAGGACATGAGCCAGACATCCTCGTACAGGAGGCGGAGTCGATCTGGAGTGATTTGGTAGGACTTGGATAGCCCAGGCAGGACCGGCACGTAGACTAGCTTTTCCTGGAAGGCGACGAGCAATGCCATGCCCGCCACCACGATCCCCCCGACCCCGTACAACAACGCGCTCACGTACGACACCATGTGACTTTACGCACTTCCTCCAGAAAGCTTCTTCTCGCTCTACTTTTTCCCTGTGTAGAAGCTCGCGCGCGTGTGTCCACGCACTTGTCGCATGTACAGCTTTGTGCGGCCGATCAAGCGCAGGGAGGACTATGATTGGGAAGAGCAGGAGCGACGATCTTGGCTTTCCGGGTTGGGAATTCGAGAAGAACGACGTCGTTTGGGAGATCCTTGCGCTGGTTCCTAGTTTATTTAGTCGAAAACTGGAAAGTGAAACGTTTTTTTCCGTGAGCACGTTTAGAAATGATGATAAGCGTGTTTGCACGTGAATATGTTGTGCATTTTGCATTTGCTTGGTAAGGGGGACTATTCATGAAAAATCACACTTGTCTAGTCTTCTTTATAGGATATAACAGGTCTGATATAACACCCATATTAGCTCGACAGACAGATTATAGAGATGAACTTGGTTTTCAACGGTCAGAGATATTTCTTAGTCCAATAGTGGCGATTGACCCTGATATGCAAATTGTCTTGAATCGAGTTGAGAGTATAATATTTATGAGATCTTATCAACTTGGTGTTCCAATGACCTGCAAAGCACCGAGAGGAGTCCCTGTGCAAACATTCCGACACTCAAGTTAGTATATACTTTAGGGAGTACTGTATAATGTATTAGGCGTGTGTGTAATAGATTAAGTGAAAGAATTTGGTTACCCTTATATACCTAGAGTAGCTTGTCCTCTAAATAAGTCCTCATTAGGAAATATATTTTCCCGTATCTACCTTGCTAACTCACCAGACTTCTAGGATCTTGAGACTCCTTAGCAACATACATTCTCCATCTAAGAAGGACTCTTTCCTCTCTTACTCTATGGCTCTTAGGTCACTGAGTCATACACACGACCTCCTTACCTACCTGTTGTAGTTCGTACCTAGGTCGCAACCACGACCTTCACCTCTCACGACTATAGGTTGTGAGGTTTCATCTGGTATTCGAGCTCCTTAGGTTCTCTGACTGTCGAGCTATCATACCGATTGGACATGTACCCTGAGCTACCTAGTAAGCTCCCTGACATGTATATGTATCAAAACAGGCTGAGCTCCTTTGAACCGACCACGATCGAGCTACCCGCTCTTAGCCAGTTCACCGTGATATTCTGGGTGTTATATCATCTAGCCCTCCATTCTTGAACGAGTTAGCTTGACTTGTACAAGAATTATCTACTTGCGCCCAACTGACGTGCTGGCATTAAATGTTGTGAACTGCACTACCTCGATACCTGCGCTTGTAAGAAACGTCTTTTCAGAAACCTTATCGTACTTCTTTTAATCTGTCGTGGATCCTTTTTCTAGATTGACGTCTTGGATCCACTGAACTTTGGCATCTGCCACATCGTTCTTCCTTAGTCAAATCCAAACCACCCAGACAGTTTTAATCCAACGACTCACCTACAATCTCCACCGTTGTGCTTTCCCGTGTCGCTATAAAACTGCGCAGATCTAGTCATTCCACTTTTTACTTTCTGCATTTTATTAGAATTCACCCTTGCAAACAAAATACTTCAGTCATCTTTGCAATTTTCTAGCGAAACGAGTAAATTGAATCCATTAGCAATTGGTGAAACTAGTCTTGGGCTGACCCTTTCAGGGTGGTGAGGAAGGCTCTACAGCAAACGACATCATTGTACTTGCAGAGTACTATGACGTTTTCAAACGACCTAAAATGTCAGAAAAGGGTAGGTCGGACCATCATCAAACAAGCTTACTCAAGGAATTTTCTAGGTAGGTCTGCTTCTAAAACTTCGTCTAAAAAGGGATGACCATGGACACGAGGGACCATTCTTCCCCCGACCTTGGCTTGTAATTCTTTAACCTGAGCCTCTAGCCTTTCTAGTGCGGTGTCTTGTTGCGGCCTTGTCACAGCTGTTGGTACCCATTTTGCTCGGACCTCTCTGTCCTCAGTCCTCCTCTGGGGTTGTGGCTACAATATAACGGGGTCTGATTACCTAGGCTCGTGAGCTCAAGCCATCGCCTCTGCTATCATCCTGCTTAATTCCTCTCGAGTGACCTTAAAGACTTCCTTTCAGGTGTCCTTTTGTGTGCCGACAACAAGCCGTTGCTCTTCGACTTGCTCCTCAAGTATGTTGATTAACACCTTGTCTTGTTGTTGTTCATCCTCTGCCACTGAATGAACCACTATTCTCTGGTCCTATTTTTCTTGCTCATCCACAAACACTTCTTTTCCACTCATAGATCCTTCTGATGCATCTGACAATGGAGTTAGAGCTAACCCAGGGACAAGCAGTGTCTCTTGGGGCGTGATGAGTGGGTTGAAGGATTGCGGCCAGCACGGAGAAGGCCGGATCTGAACGGCTTTTTTTGCCACGCAGCCTCCATCTCTTTCTCGATGTTCTTCTTGGGGTTATCACTCGGCATGACTATGACTTTCATGAAGCTTGTGAGAAAAAATCATTAGTCCTTTATGGCCGGTAAAAGACTGACTCTTCCCACAGACGGCGCCAATTTGTTGCATCACTTTCTTTAAGAATCAGGTTGAACCATCTACGCCATGAACTTCCTTCGTCTTTGAGATCCAGTGACCTGCAATATGCTGGGAGGGGGTCCCAGCAAAAAAACCTTTGACGCTAAAGTCAGAACTTGCTCAATAACTATATATGAGAATATATAATTGAAGTGCAGAATGCGATATCTTATTAGGAAGAACCTGACACCCTTAAATAGGGTACCTGTCTTAGTTCCCAACTAGACCACACTTTCTAACTCACCACGTCTCTATCTAGGCAAGTGTCCTTGAGCAAGTGATCATTTTCTTCTTACTAGAATTCTTTCCACCTTACTGTACAACCCTTAGGTCCCTAGGTCGTAACCTCAATCTCCAGACATGTTTGTTGTCGCTTACCCAAGGTCAAACTTAACCTCATCTTGAGGTTTACCCTGACCTCAGATCGTACGACCTCGATACCTCGAGGTCGATTTTACTGCCGCTCCTTGAGGTTGGCACCCCTAGGTCGTCTTCTTCAGGTTGGCTAGCACCTTAGGCCCAAATACGAGCTCTTTGGTTGGATAGCTTATATTTCAACATACTAGAGCTCCGTTTGACCGGCTTAGCCAGGCTTTCTCCTCAGGCCGGTCTGCTGAGGTATTTTGAGTGCTACATCATCATCTTTAAAATATGATTTTTGAATTAAATGTCAAAGGGGGAGATTGTAAGATTTATTTTTGGCAAGAATTCTAAAATAATATCTTGATGTTCTAGCAATCAACTAAATCAAAAAAGGAAAATTAATTCTCTCTCTCTCTCTCTCTCTCTCTCTTATTTAATTAAGTCTAGATATTATACTATTAAGTATGATAAGTACATATTAGTATATAATAGACTTTGTTTTATATATAATCGGTTTACCATATCCTTAGTTTTTTGCTATTTGTTGAGAGATCGTGTTCAAGGAAAAGATGAAGCTAATCGATGAAGTTTGCATTTGAAGATATCGGCTTATAGATTGGAAGATCTCTTCCTACCATGTCTTAAGGAAATAAGAAGGAAGGAAATCGACTCAAAAGGGAAGGGGAATTAAAGACTCCTTACCTTGAGGAGATAGTATATAAGTCTACACAAAGACTCAATTGAAGGTTGCTGCAATAATCAGAGTTTGACCTATTCTTAGACTTTATTGAGTGTTTGTGAGATTTTAGTTTTACGAGTTTTATTTGGTTAAGTTTTTCAGTGTTCTTACACCACTGAAGAACTAAATTTGTTTTTCATTTTATAAACACTTTTTGTGCTTATATATTAGGTACTCGTATAGCTAGGAGGGATCCATAGCTATTGTGAAGTCCACGTTTGTGGCCCGAGGGTTAGTTAATAGAGTCGGGTATTGTGTTGGCTAGACTATGAGTGAGTTGAAGTCGTGTAAGCCCAAAATGTACTTTGTGCAAGCAAATCGATCTATTAATGAAAGAGCTCTGAAGGATAGTGGGACACTTCTCGAAAAGATTTCTAAATATTTTTGCTTCCGCTTTTACTTTTGGTGTTCAAAAACACCTTGTGTACTCTATATACTACCCCATCGACGTTTCATTATGTTTGATTTTCCGCAATTTAAGTGAATGTTCATTATTTACTGCCTTAAAGCGCAATTCTGTAACCCCTAAAATTTCAATAAAAACCTCCCACAAATACTCGCTCGACCATGTACAACCCTTTCAAATTAGGTTTGAGCGTGTCGAGGTGCTTGAGCGCATCTGCTTGTCGCCACACCAAGTGGCCTACTTGGAACTTGCAAGATCAAACCTTATTACCGTGGGACGACCTCATTCTCTACTTGTAAGCCTCTGTTCGGATTCTGGCATGGTCTCAGAGCTCATCCAAAAGATCCATCGCCACCTTCTGCAACTCGGCATTTCTTTCTCCTTTAAACGTGGATATCTGCTCCAAGCTAAGGCCAATCTCGATCAAAATGACGGCCTCTATACCACACACCATGTTAAATGGTGTCTTCTCTGTTTAGGTCTTGGGCGTAGTCCTATAAGCCCATAAACCTGATTTGAAATCGTACCCCAGCTCCCAAAGCCTTCTCCATCCGACCTTTAATCCTGTTCATGATTTATCTATTTGTGACTTCAGCTTGTCCATTGCATGTGGATGTGCCACCAAAGAAAAGTGTTGTCTGATCTTCATGGGTTGACAACAAGCAATTATCTTTTAACCTTTGATCTGAGCTCCATTGTCGGACACGAGCACCCTTTGTATACCACACCTGAAACAAAAATATTGGTGAAAAAAAATTTTACGACCTTCTCTTCCGTGATCCTTGCCAAAGGCTTGGCCTCGATCCACTTCCTATAATAGTCTACTGCCACCAAGAGAAATTTCCTTTGTCCAGTTCCTTGCTTAGGGCAACCTACTATGTCCATCCCCCACTGGTCGAAAGGTAATCGCAAGCTCAGGGGAATCATCTCCTCAACATATCGGTGGATCAACGGCCCGTTTCTTTCCCCACTATTAGCAGCGTTTAAGATAAGTTTTTTCGGCTTTTTTTTATTCTTCTCACCATTCATCTTAATATTTGTAAATTATAGTAGTGTTTTTTTTCAGTCCATTCTTGTTTTTACCAGTTTATGCTGCTCACTCTTTACATCTTAATTTATATTATTTCTTTTATTTCTAATTTAGTTGTAGTAAGTATGAAAACTTAATGTACATATTTAAATTTGTTTACATAAATATAATTAATTATGTAAATAAATTAGCATGTTAATATTACCAAATACAACTTTTCAAATAAACCAACTACTTCTACCAAATATATTTTTGAAAAACCCTAACAC